ACTGAGTGGCTGGCTCGGGCCGCCATGTTTGCTCCACTGACACATATGGGACGGTTGCTGTCTCACAGTTGGTCCCATGGTGAAAGATTAATCCAGTAGGAACCTGGAGCAAATGCAGGTGTCTGTCCCTCATTAGGAGTGCAAGCACCTTAAATGCCATTTATATCTTCCATCAAGGTCTCATGCATAGAGTTCAGAAAACATCTTGAAGCTGGGTTAAGTTTGTGCAACTTAAAGTGCTCTGTAATAGTAAATAGTTTGACATCATGAAATAAAACTTGCTGAAAAGATTGACACCGCCCTGATATCTGTTTGTTGAAGCTAGTACTGGAAATAGGTTTGCTTAACTTAGCATAAAGTAGACTAGAAAAAGGCCTGATTCTGTTCAAATGCAAACAAATCTACATGTAGATCTCTCCAGCTAGGTTGGCACGATGATCTGAAGAAAGCTTTTGGATGAGAGGTGAAACATGCTGAAGTCTGGTTGCCTTCGACTGAAGCTCTTGGATCACCATAAGCTGGATACAGTAGATGTGAATCTGCTAACCCTAACCCTACTGCTTTGCACTTTTTCCATGAACAAGTGCAAACCAGAAGTATAACAAGATGGAAAGGAGGAAGGAAATTTGCCGATTACAAGAACCACCTCCAGGTACTACTAGAGGCACAGGACCACAGAGAACAAGTCCACTTTACCACTGATGCACTTTAGGAAAAGAGTGACCAGTTCTCTCCAAGAACTGACAGGACGTCTACCCGGTACAGTCACGGATGAAGCTTCTATGCTTGTTGAACAGGCATAGATTGTCTCAGAAACATCCAAGCAAGCCAGAAATAAACAAGTTGACAAGGCACTAGAAGATATTATAGTTGTCCTTTCTGTGTCTGCGTAGGTTTTCTTCGGGTTCTTTGGCTTCCTCTCACAGTTCAAAGACAAGCATGGCAGGTTAATTGTGCTCCTAACCTGGCTGTAGGTGTGAGCATGCATGTTGTTGGTCTCTCTGTGTTAGACTTTTGCTGTGTCTCGCCCTGTGTCAGCGCTGAAGGTTCAGTAGCACGCTCTACCTCTGTCTAACATATGTCTGAGTAGCTTCTCAGTCATCCAGGTCATGATAATCCGTAGGAAAAACAAAGGAACACACACATATTAAGAAAGCACTGAGAAACTGTTGTTGTCCCAACTGGACCTACAGCAAATCAACAACACAAAACCACATCAGTCAAACTCAGCACCGCGTCAAACAGTGATGAAAGGAAGAACAGGAGGAACAACATTGTCATTTCATATGTTGATGGAGTGTCTGGAAAACTTAAAAGGATTTTCTCCAAACATAACATACTGGTGCATTTCAGACCCAGTAACACAATGAAACAAAAACTGGTTCACCCCAAAGACGAGCTGAGGAACATTGTACATGCAGTTAAACACATCTCCACAAGGCTCAACACAGGAATACCAGCACATCAGGACAAGACTCAGCAGTCCACCTGCATCTGAAGGATAAGGGACACTTCTTTAATGTTCACAAGACAGTCGGTTTGAGAGGAAACCATCCATGTCAAACTGGAACAAACAGAGGAGAGACTCTACAACACCACATATCAAGGACCTATACGCATTGATAAGGTCTCCCCCTCTGAAAGTTTCCCCATCATTAACAGCTCCAGTCACTCCTGACCTGGCAGATTCATACTGTTTGTTGTACAGACTGGCCGAACCTCACAACCATTATTGCTGTTGGACCACCTGGTTTCACAACCGTTCACACCTAAAGGCAGATGGACCATTAGCCATGTGAGCCAGAGCGACTTTATACATCTGAAACTCTCCGTCAGTCAGGTAGAACTGAAGCAGCCTGTTGGATGAGAGATGAAAGAAACTACAAGAGAAGTCCAGTTGCTTTTTACTGAAGCTCCTTTAAATATTGCATTTCTGCTCTACAGTATTGCCCTCTTAAAAACATTTTGGGGTCATAAGGGACAGAGCGCAAAAATAGAGCCTCTAGATGCTGCAGATGGGATGGAATTTAAAAGAAATTGTTTTGTCTTTATCGTTTCCATTATCAAAATGATTAAAGTACCTCAGATAACATTACAGTTGATCAGAGATCAGCTCTGTGTGTCTGTGTTGTGCATTCAAATCCTTCCAATGACCTCCTTTCCGAGGCAAACCCAGATTTACAGTCCATTTGGAAACCTGAAATTTGGACCACGGGATCAAAAAGCCAATTCAATTATTCATAGCCGTTGCTCCATTACTCAGCTCTTTCTAAAACCAGCAAAACACACACAAGGAATGCCCTAATGCTGTTTTTTTTTTTTTTTTGGTGGGGGCGGGGGGGAACCGAGTCATAGTGTACCATAATGGAAACCGACCCGATGACTAAGGCCTTTCGAGCCACGTGTGCGTCCTTTAGTGGAAGCCGAGCTGCGTCATTTCAGGGAAGACTGATGGGCGACGGCGGGGCTCGGAAAAGCCAAACGCTCCTCCATCCAGCCATTATCTACGCTCACTTACAGCGGTGTGGAGATGGAGCCTGTCCAGCTCACATTAAACCAGAGGTAGAGGTGATCAAGTTGCCAATAAATGGTTTATAGAAAGAAGCTGGAGCGCAGACAAACAGAGAAGATCAAAGCTTAGAAACCCTCATGGTAATTTAACCCTGAGAAGTTAATACGAACCACGAACAGACCTGCAGGTTCAAACCCTCATTAGAATGCTTCTTTAATTAGTCTTCAATAACAAATGTGACCAGAAAAAATAGACGGAATTCTCTCTTCTTTGGCTTCTTCGTGTGAGAGGTTAATCGTATTTGTTAATCACAGGAGAGAAAACGTGCTATTGCAGCCGAGTATCCTGTGAAATCCGGTGAATCAGCACATCTATAGCTGCAGCAGCATTATATGTCAAGATTAGATGCATTATTTCATCCTCAGGGGGGATTCTATAGTAGTTTGGTCACCAATGCATGGTAAAAAAATAGCAAAAGACACACAAGGCTTTTAAATGAACTGTTAATCCCAAACCCCATGCACAAAAATGTATTTAATATTATATTTCAGAGTACTTAGACACATGGTGATTGCCTGCTAATCACAAAGTACTGAGGAAAATGTAGTAACCACTTGGCAGCCTATGATGTGTAACTTTACTTCAGGATGCACAAAAAGGTAGTACTCATTAACTACCGTATCCAAGGTAGCCAGCGGCATCAACATTGTGATTATTTGGAAACAAATGCTCAGTTTGAGAAATTAATGAAGCATCGGCATAAGTTTCATTTGAATTTAGAATTTGCCAATTTGTACCTTTTTGTAAATCCGTTTTTGGTGAAAATGTCTTTGTTTATTTCAGGAAAACACAAACTTTTAGTAGCATGTGACGGTTCAGGCTTGCAGGAATTCTGCGATGCTTTTAAGTGTTCACTCTTCTGTTCAACTTTTCTTGTTGAAAATTCCTGCTGAGTCGACACAAAACAGTGTTAAAAAAAAAAAAAAAAAAAGTCCACTACTTCTGTTATGTTTTTTATTGGGCGGGACAAATGCACATGTTCTAAATGTCAAGGTGGGACACATTTACTGTGCCAACAAGACAAATAAAGCTCGAGATAAAAAAAGTAAATAAGGCCAGAATAGAAACTATCTATGAGCGGAGACTTTTAATATGATAATATGATAGTGACATTTACAGCCGGCGTTTCTGCATTTATTTTACCTAAGAGATCAAATAAAACAATGCAATCTTCTTGTCAATGACAGTTATAAATTTGTGCTTCTACACAAATAAAATGACACAGGGTTAAGTTTACCCTGCTAGTTTAAGCATGCTTCTTGTGTATATATAGTTCTTGTCATGTCTTTTGTCAGTTCATCTGGTTTGCTCCCCTAATGTTCCTCTTCCCGCCTGATTGTCTTTATCTGTCTATAGTTTGCATACTTTGTCCCTTGTTTACTCATCTTGTGTTTGCCTGCCTGTTTGCTTTCCTCAAACTTCTTAATGCCCCTTTGTTTTTGCCTGTTGTTAATTATTTTGTGCTATTTTCTCTTTTTCTATTCTCCTTGGATTAGTTTTTATGATATGGATTTTGCATTTACTCCCGATTGTCCCAGCTGTCTTGCATTTGCACCCAGCTGTTAAAGTTTTGTTAGATTAAAAAAAATAAGAATTTAAAAATATGTAGGCTGATCTGAGCTGAGCCCTCAATGTTTCAAGCTCGTACCATAGACATCACATTATTGTATTGCACCTTTTGTACATTTTACCATTTTACTTTTTTATATTTTCTTATTGTATATTTTCACTCTTTGTGCTGTAATAGCCAGATTTCCTGTTGGGGGTTCATAAAGTATTTCTATTCTGCTCTACTCCATTCTTTTAAAAACTGTTGTTACTTCATTTCCCAGCTCTCAGACACTCCAAGGCTATTTAATATAGGCTCTATTTAGCTAAACAAATCAACTGTGCTCATGTTTGACATGTTAGACTTTAGTACTGCTGTTACTATATATCCAACATACAGCAGCTGATTTTTTACTGTACATGTTACAGATGGGCTCATCTAAACTCTACAGTCAGCTACAGTGACTCGATCACAAATGTGCACAAAATAGAAAATAAATGATCTGATAAACAAATTTGTGCAGGAAGGAAGAGATAGAAATGTGCATACATGAGGTGCATAAACTTTTTTTTGTTGTATTTTTTTATATCAGAAAATTGGACGCATCCTGTAATTAAAAGTGCTGATTACATCAAGCTGTCACCGGATAGCCTCCAAACACGCCAAGGACATGACATTGTTGGTGGCAGCCAGGGTTCACCTCCCAGACATGCCTCCCTGCTCCACAGAGCTGGGGGTTCGACACACGTGTGCGGCTCATGCGGCGCTGTGATTGGCTGAGACGCGGCGCTAGGTCCCGCCCCCTTCCCCATCTCCCCTCCCCTCCACGGCCGTGCGTCACCGCGGCGGATCGGCGGAGCTGCAGAGCGGAGCCGCACTGCACACTTGGACGGGGCGAGGCGGCGGCTGTCCCGGCGTGGCCTCTCATCCATCATCGCTATGGGAATTACCACCGCGCTGTGTCCGAACCGAGCCCTCATCCGTCTGGAAGCGGTCCACCTGCCGGAGACACAGACTATAAAGCGCCGCAGTTGAGGCCGCTCACACAGCTTCTTCTTCTTCTCCTCCGGTTTCTAAACTGAGGAGGAGGAAGGAGGATGATGATGGTGATGATGAGGAGAAACATCTAGAGATGAGAAGTGTTTCCTAAGGAGACAACTTTGCTCGAGAATCATCTGTTTTGTGAACCAGGACGATGCCTGCCATGTGTGTGTCCGCAGTGGTGAGTCCATCCCATTTTCATTCAGCTCCCTGCTTGTTTTTTGATTCTTTATTCTAAGGACTCCTCCAGCAGGTTCTCCATTTAAAGGGCCAGTGCCTGTTTTTTTCCCCCCACTCTTACCTATGACTAAAAAAGTCTCTAAAATATAGCAGAAGGTTGACAATGAAATAAACTAGACAGACGTGGTTTTGTTTTTAGTCTTTTTCTTCTAAATGTTTGACAGCTCAGTAGTGTTTCATTGTGGGTGAACGACACAAAAGAGGCTCCAGTGGAAGGATGGAGAAAGAAAAAAGGGGGCTCAGCAATCTATTGTTTACCAACTGAACAGATGAAAGTGGAGTTTTAACTGTTGACTCTTTGTCACCACACAGATGAAGCACAAGTACACTCATTTTTGGATGACAAAACCAAATTAACAAAGAAAAATGAGCTTTTATAAAATAAATTTCATGTGTTTTTGCATAGAGTCAGATATTTATAATACATGAAAAGGTGTAAGTGTCAGGGATGGGTGGATTTCATGCTTTAAACATGTTCAGGCCTGTGTTATGTTGAATATACTGTCGTGTATAGAGGCTCCAGTCAGGTAAGTCGTTGTCTTTGTCTCCTGATAAACAGGAAGGCTGCAGCTGAGAGTAGGGGATGTTGACTTGTGCAAACAAAGAGTGAAGTCTGTCTGTCATGCAAATGTGTTTTTATTGGCATTGTTATGCAATCAGGAGGCTAAGTTTCATATATTTGGGTATTTAAACAGGAAAATTAGAAGGAAAATCATGAATAATTTGAAAAAAAAACATGTTTTTCAAAGGATGATATGTGTAAAAGTCTAACTTTTAACTTAAAAAGTTTGTTAAAGTCCACATATTCATTTTTAACAAACTATTTTGCACATTTAAAATCAGAATAAGAAATGCTTTAGTACAATTTAGGATGCAAATGTGTAAGAGAGGTTTATAAAGCTGCCCGGGTTCAAAGCATCCTACTACAAGTGATGTTTTGAAGTTTTGGGTAACTTTGGAGGACTAAAGCCTCATTTTTCTCCTCTGCATGGTGGAACTTCTATTCAAGGGTCTGTGTGATGTTAATTCCGTCATTTAATTACGTCCATGAGAGCCGATCTGTGTGCACGGTCCACGTGCAGCTCTTAATTACTGACCAAACCCTGTCAGCTGCTCTCGGTCTGTGTGTGCTTTTGGTCTATTCCTGCACTTCAACTTGAACTTCTGCCATCAAAAACCTGAAGGGTCCCTGCAAAAACAATAACATTCAGGTCAGGTGCTGGTCAGAGTTGTTGCATAAAGCTTTGACTGTTGTCTGTGTTATGTCATATGCTGCAAGTTGGTGCACTTTGCTCAGTGGAAACAGGGAAACAGAGTACAGTCAATGTGTTGCATTAGCCTGGAGAGCTAATGGTCAGTTATGGATGCAAAGACTTCAAGTCCTGGGTCGGGTTTGGGTTTTGTAACTGCAGGACTTCTGAGATTTATAAAGGTGTGTTTGAGTCTTGTTTTTTATCGCAGACATTTAGAAGTTCAGCGAAGGTGTAAATGATACCAGTAATTGTGGCTGAATTCTATTTAGGGGAGAATCACTTTTACTGTTATTAGTAACAACTGAGATTTTTCTACTGTGAGAAGACCAAGACTGTGTTCGAAATCATCCACTCACCCCCTGATCACTATCTAGGGACCACTATACAGTGAACTCTGTAGGGGGCACCTTGGCAAAGTAGCATTTCGGATGCTACTTGAGCTATTAATTTGGTAGCAGCACAGTGCAAACACTTTAAATTCAAAGCTTATTACGTAGCTTAGAAACCGGTAAAGTCAAATTCATCAGTACTCTTGTTGGTCTCGTTCGTGTTCTCCTTCACGCAGTGCATGATGGGACATATCGCTTTGTTAGGGACCATCGGCAAACGCTACTTTTCATAGTGCATTGTGGGATATTTGAGTGTACTATATAGGGTGTAACATTTGTGACTTAACATTCGGACAGCACTACAAAATAACCAAGTGTCACAACCCAAGTCTCTTCAGTTAAAAAGAACAATTGGAAAGAACAGGGCTCATGCACTGACATTACAATGCTTAGTTTTTTCTGTAATATGTTTTAGGATATGTGAAAAAACAGGGATTTTCATCAGATGACTTGAGTGGGTTCATCCAGTTGTCTTGCAGTGGAGTGCATCTACATCAAAAACAAAAAAAATCATTTGGAAACAAAGTGAATGAAAACAGTTTGGAACAGTTCTCGAAAGGTACAACACTGTCAGAGGTACTGGATAAAAGTTTTTGCTTTGGATGGCCTCGGGTCTGGCTTTGTACTCATCATTCGGAGCTTTGTAGTAATTATTTAAATCGTCAAACCGGTTATTTGTGTTTATGGTCAACGACATCCTTTCTGTAGCTAAAATATTTCCATATAACTGACTTTGCATTTCTTTATGCACCAGAAATCTTTGTTTTTAGTGTTTCTCCACTGGTCCTGGCTCATTTGATCACCTCACCTACATGTCAACAAACTCGTTGTCTTGTGAATAAAGTAAAAAACACTTCAATTCTGTTCTACCAGACAGACTATCACCCTGACCTAGTTCTCTTTTTGTATTAGGTAGCGAAAAAGTCCTAGCATTAGGTGTTTGAGTTAACTTCCCTTAACTTCCAGCGATGTGCTGTTTCATTTACACTTATTGTGATGCGAAAATGATTTATTGTCCAGCCCTAACAAACACTACTGTACTATTTTGTATGTTTAATGTTTTGATGCATCCATCATCTTTCATATGCTTCAAATGACCATAGATGCAAACAAGCAGCTACTTTCAGTGTATAATGATGATTTAGCAACAAACCCAAGTAACTCGAATCATTTCACGTATACAGTTTGCTTAATCTGTTTCATTTACCTGCCATTCATTTACACTGGTATAAAACAGCCTGTTGTACTAAATGCTGATCTTAACTGACACTGCAAAAAAAAAAATCTGGCGGCAAGGATGCCAAAAATTAAACATTAAAAAAAAACTGTGGGATACGGTAACGTTTGAAAACTGAAAAACTGTAAAATTTATGACAAACGTCTATAAAATAATACTGTTGATTATTGCTTTTAAAAGCTTAATGACACTTTTAGAAAAATATAGATCTTGGATTTGCACGTTATTTACAGTTTTGGACTATTTTTTTTGTATTTTATTTTATTTTATTTTTACAGTTAACTTAATAGTTAATAGTTTTTGTCTTTGATTTTACTAGATATTATTTGCAATTTAAAAAATGGTAAAACATGCAAAATGACAGATTTTAAAAAATAACATTCAGTTCTTCAAACGTTTAATAGACATAATCTTTCTTTCAAATAACAACAAATATCTGTAAAATAATTATGTTTTTGCAGATTTAAATAAATAGTGTAACTTTACTGTCAAATACTGTACAAGAATTAAGTTTTGTGGTTTTACTAGTTATTATCTGTCATTTAACCAAACTGGAAAAAAATTGTCTAATGGTAGTAAATTGCTCAAAAAAGTAACATTTATTTAATAGAATACATTTTAACATTCAAGAAATCCTCATTTTGTTTTTACTGTATAGGTGTAAAGGTTGTTATAATGCTTGCCACGTGTCTTAAATGAACAAGACATACAATATTTATAACTCTGTAGAACAAAGACAACCCAAACATTTGGTTTTCACAGAGGATGAGCTCAGTTCCTCACATGGCGCTCGCGGCTTCGGTCATTAGCAGCAAACTCGAAAACATCAACACAAATAATCATCGCTGGCTATTGTCGGTGATAAATTCGGCGCGACTGAGTCCAAACAGAGTCTCTTTCTCTGGGCTGAAGCGAGCTGCGACTGTGGTGCAGGATGACACGAGGACACGAAGCAACAGGTGTTGGCTGGACGAGTGTGTGTGTGTGTGTGTGTGTGTGTGTGTGTGTGTGTGTTTAGTGGAAGTGTGCGTAGGAGTGCACGTGTGCGTTTATGTCGAGCGTTTGTCTGCCAATGTGTGCACGTCTGCGCATGTATGCCTATGTGCGAGTAGTGTGCCCGTCTTTAATTGGACAGTAATTACAGCTTAATGTCTGCTGCCACAGACATCCCACCCATGTATGCGCACAACTCATTATGTAACACGCGTGTTCCAATGCACACACACAAACCTAAACAGTGGCCTGATTGTTTCTGTCATGACTCACCATGTACAGTTAATAAAGTCATTCCTGAAAACCGGCGCCATTTCTACAAGAACTACAACATCGAGGCACCTGAAACTCCATCAGCCATATCTGCTGTAGTAAAGTTTGTACACATTAATCACGAGCTGTGTCACAGTATGAGACTGAGTTCGGTTTGTTTAGCGCTACTACGATTTCTTTAAGGTCACAAGTCTCACAGATAAACAGGCTGACAGGCTGGACGTAGTGTTGGCACGCAGCCCATCTGTCCACGTGCATGTTGCGAGCTTATTTTAGGATGTCAGGAAATGTAAAGACGCTTAAAGGTGTTTGTGTCTGTTGTCCATATTAAGTTTCAGGTGGGTGGGATCATTTGCCCTTTGTGTACCAGTCAAGGGCCTCTCTGATGCTTTGTAACTGGTAAATGGTCTGCACTTATATCGCGTTTTTCTACCTTAGTGGTACTTAAAAGATATTTACAATGTGTTTCTCATTCACCCATTCACACACACATTTGTACACCAATGGCGACAGAGCTGCCATGCAAGGCTTTTGCCTGCCATTGGGAGCAACTTTGGGTTCACTGTCTTGCCCAAGGACACTTTGACTGTGGTGGGGCAGGGAAATTGTGGTCCAGCCTTAAAGTTTAACCCTATTTAGGACTTTGGGGGTCTTTTGGACCCCAGGCCAATTGGTTTAGGTGACAGGTATTGTTTGTTTTATATTTTTGAAGATTTCTTTTTTAGTATAAAAAGAAGGACATTTGTCATTCATTTGGAACCAGAAATAGGTCAACTTGTCAGAAAATGTATTTAAC